GGGTTCCCATGGCCGCCTGCGGCGCACTTAGTGCTGTCTCTTATACACATCTAGATGTGTATAAGAGACAGCGATTGCACCCTTCACGGACGTGCTGCCACGACACACACAAACGAAAGTAGGGCAATATATTTCGGCGGCCTTGAGGAAGTCGGAAAGTGGCGGGATCCGAAAACTAGAGTGTAACTGGGCTGTAGTGTAGTGGTGGGATCAGGCCCTAAGGCACACAAGTAGCATTCAGGAGGTCTTGGGTTCAATCCCCATTGGCCTCATGTGCCTTCCTGGGCATGCTTGGCGCCCGCCACTACAGTGTAACTGGACTGTGGTGTAGTGGTGGGATCAGGCCCTAAGGCACACAAGTGGCATTCAGGAGGTCTTGGGTTCAATCCCCATTGGCCTCATGTACCTTCCTGGACATGCTTGGCGCCCGCCACCTAGAGATAGCCCGTTGGTCCCTGGCCAGTGTCCCCCGTTGGGGGTTCCGTGAAGGCAATCAAGGCCACCCTGCACTGAAAAGGCTACCCGATGTCAGATTAGACACGATTATATTGAATTTACCTGGGCTGGTTAGTCCGATGATAATACCTCAAGGCCATCGCCCTTCTGAAAAAAAAAAAAAAAAAAAATCATCTAGCGGCCTAGCTCAGATGCGGCTGGGACCCACGGGTTGGCTAGGCCCAGCCTTGTGAAGTGAAACGATGTTTTTGTTTTTTGAAATCAGTGGACTTGTTGAAGATACAGCAGTAGCGGAAGGAGTGTTCGATCTCTTGACCTATGGAAATTTGATTTTTAGTGACGACCGGGTTTTTTAATACATTAGGTTGTCCTCTGACGGCAGTCTTGGATTCTATCCTTTTTTCTCAGACCTTTTCTGGGCCTTAGTTTGTGAAGTCGTATCCAGAGACGAGTGCTGAAGGGTTTTTTGAACCTCGTACCTGAAATTGCGGTAGGCGATGTAGTTCCTGTCTTTAGCATGGTCTCGCAGGATATATAAAGAATGTCAACCTCTGCGACTAAAGGCCTCTGATGAGTGCTGGGAGCGGCCAGCCGAAACTAGTCGGGCCATACTGCTAGATTGTTGCTCTTCATGTTATATCTTCATAAGTCGCATTCGGGAAGATATTTTTACGTGTCCTGCGTCTTTGACTTTTGTCCCTCTTTTGTCTCTTCCTCTTTCTATTCTTCTGTTATTTTATGCATTTCTTTCTTTGTCGGTTGTATTGTCTTTCTGTCACGAGTTGTGGTTCGAGTATGGTTTGACTAGTTCTTTATATGGTTATTACGGTACTAATGATTATCTTAGGGTGTTGTTGATTGATGATTGTTTAAAAGTTGTCGACTCTTTGACTCTTTGCTTACGCGAAGTAATCACCGTAGGAATTGCACTACGTGTCTGTGTGGCTTCGTAGTGTGTAGTATTTTCATCAGTCATGGCTAACCCCTCATCGTTTGTTGGGACCTGCTTCAACTGTGGAGACCCCAATCATTTTGCACGCTGGTGTCCACATCGCCAAGTTCCCAACAACACCACCAATTCCAATTTGAGCGTTGTATCTGCCCAGACCCCGGTTCTTGCCCTTCCTGCACCTGGTCTGCCACCACCTCCGCTTCCCCCTCCCCTCCCACACGCTCGTACTTCTTCGTCCTCTGCTGTGGTTAATAATAACAATCAATATGGTAGAGGCAACGACTGGGTTAATACTAACCAAAGAGTTGTTGTGTTGGAGGACACAGTTTCACAAATGAAAGGCTGGTATGACGCAGAGATGGCGAAATTAAACGCTAAGAAAGCTGAAGAGGAGCGTACGCAGAAGGAGCGGGAAGAAGAGGAGCGAAGAGCCAGGGATAAAAGAGAGAGATGAATTCCGTATTGAGTTGAGTATGTCATTGAATGCTAAGATCCATCGGGTGTATGAGGCGATAGCAGGAAATAAGGTTGTGGATGCCAATGATGAAGTGACATCCCTGAAGAAGGAAGTTGAGAAGCTTCGGTTACAAGCCAGCAGTTCGTGTAACGAAATCAGGAATGGTGGTGGTCGTTCCAACAGGAATGACGAAGTGATTGCACGTATGATGCAGGAGCATGAGGAAATGAAAGCTAAAGTAGAACAGTTTGCGGTGACGGCGAGACGAATTCAGTCATTGGAAGAGGAAATCAAGTCACTTAAACAAATGCGTGAAGATGCTTTGAAGGAAGGCAAGGATTGGAGGAAGGAAGCTTTGCGACCTGGGAACAAGCATGGTTGTGTCGCTATGACGCCAGATTCCAAGCTGAGGAGTCATCCGCCGACAGTATCGGCGAAGTCGGTTGCAAAACCTGCGGGTGATCCAACGGAGCAGGCGCAGTTACATAGATTAGAGGTGGTATCGTTGAAGGAACTACGCCTACAGGAATTGAATCGGCGCAGGGAGGCAGAGCAAGAGCTTGAGAAAGCGAAGGAAGTTATCGCACGCATGGAGGCAGAAAAAGCTCGTCAGATACCTTGTTCCGATTTGCGAGAGCGAATGGAGGAAGTTGAAGGATGTTCTGGACTGCGAACTCGGAGGGAAAGCAGAAGGCTACGTCCGGACTGGCAGATGCCAAGGAGAATGACCGGGAAGGATTTATCAAGGAAGCGAAGCGTGAATTTCGCAATTTGAAGAAAGATGATGTGATGAAGATCTGTGCAAGAGAATGTATGAAGTATACCACTCTACAGCAGAGGATCGATGACATTATCGGAAAAAGGGTTGAGCTTGCAGTCGGCGATCCAAAGGGTAAGGCTGTGATAATCTCTAATGATCTGGTTGGCGATCGTGTCGAAGGACAAGATTCGAATGATGGGAGGGATTCTATTACTTCTTAGGATCCCTCCCGAACGCGGTCAGCCTTTGGTCGATCGCGCAATCCTGTTCTCAGCTAAGATCTACCTCTTCATTACTTCTACGGGATAAGAATCTTGATGTTCTATTTCAAGTTGTTGTCATTATTCTAATTCTTCTCGGTCTTATTCCCTGGGCTCTCAAATTGACTCCCTATATCTTTGAGTGGTTGAAGGAAGTTGGGTCGTTAGATGAGGCCAGAGGGTCGTTGGTGTATGTATTGGTTTCGCCTTGGTGTCGTCATGTCTACGTTCGCAGTACATCTCGTAACTTGTCAGTACGTTGGAATGAGCACGTATACCGGGCAAGCAATCAGAATTTCATACAAAATGACAGACGTAACGAAAATCTTTATCAGTGGATGCGTAGGTGTGGGACTCATCAGTACGTGGCTATTTCGTTGCAAAGGTGCTCGAACGATAATCTTTTATCTGTTGAGCGATTTTTTATCCGTCATTTTTCTTCATCTCCGAATTGTCGTGATAAACCTCAAAAGAATAGGAGATGCAGAAAGGGAAAGAGAGAGAGATCTAAAGTAGGCACGAGAAGGAATTACGTACGGACCAGCAATTTGAGTTTGTCTGTCGAAAAAACGTTGCTATTCTTTCATTCTTCTTTGGGAAGAGTTTCGTGCAGTCTGTTGAGAATTTTTGAATTATTGCAGGGATAATTCCGTAAGTCAGGTTGCTGTTGTGTGCCAAGGAGGATCGTTACGACTAGACAACTGGAAAGTTGACAAACGATCTTATGGCTTGTCTATCTTACAATGCGAATTTGGGTGCGATCTGTTGAGATTATCTCATGGATGGTTGAAAAGTGGGGGAGTTCTATTTTTCAAGTTTGTCGTTCCGTATTGTCAGAAATTTATTTCATTTACACCTCGTCTTGCACATTTGTTAAGTCATCCTTCTTCTCGTGTTGATCTTCGTACATGGGAATTTCGTTAATTAGTCTTTGCCTTCTCATATGTCAGATGCTTTCAAGAAAAGCGTACCAGGGGCCGTTTACGTGTTTTGTTGTCTAACGCTATTCAGTCTCGCTTTAGTTTTTTTGTTCGTCAAAGGCTCATCGTTCGCATCATCTATGACGATAGGTTGTGCAAGGCAGGAGTACGATCTGTATGTGCCGACTTGATTGAGAATTTCACTATCGATCCGATATGGAAGCGCATGTTGGTCCGACGGATGAGGATAGTTTGGTGTAAGAATCGAACGGTTGGCAACTTGATCCACAACCATCGGCAGGTAGCACCATGTAAGGAATTTACCTGTGGATGTGCGAACGCTGACTCGACATTTCCAAGGGTGGATGGTCATGTCCTTTTTGGTCTGAACTCCGTGAGTCTCTTTCCTTCGTCTATGTCTAATTCAAAGAATGTTCTCCGTCCGTCAGGCAGGAACCCTCTATTCGGTCTTAAGAAACAAATATTGGCTTCCTTCGATTATGTCTCCTCTCTTCCGTAGTTAGAATCTGCCAGCATCTCGATGACTTCCTTGTCAAAGTGTCTAACTCGTGGTGGCTTTCTTGACCAGTCTGTGCGTTGTGGCATGGATGAAGTGCTAGATCAAAGAAGAAGGTTGGATAAACTAGTGTGTCCGTCGATAAATCACAAAATTGGTGATACTTATGTATGTTGTCCGACAGTTTATGGTTTGGGAATGACGAAGCTCTTCCTTTGCAATCCCGCTTTTGTCCCTTGTCCCGATCGCGAGTCTATGGTGGTGGAGGAGTGTCAAAGGAAATTTGATACTGGAGGTTTTGCGATGGCTGGTCTTTGGAATAAGGCTAGTTCACTTGGGCATGCATATTGCTTACCCAAGCATAAGGACGTGGCGCGTTGGCGGCCCATCTGCCCCTCTTTCCCTGAAGGCAGTGCACTGTGCAGTAAGCGCGTGGCACGAGTTGTAAATTTGCTGCTGTGAAAGCTTCCCCCTCGCTATCATTTTAATCTACGGAGTACAACTGAGTTGGTTCAAGGGATCGACTTGGCCAACCGACAGTTGAAGGATCGGGAATGCATACTGGGAGGGTCGTTTGATGTGAAGGAGATGTTCTCCAACCTCCCACATCAGTCTATTATCAATGCATTAGAATGGTCTCAGATTATTGGCTCAGCGAAGGTTTTGTTGGTGTGTTGTTTTGTAAACGTGGGAAGTCGGTGAGATTGACAAAAGGGAAAGGCGAGGCTGGTTGGGTATTGATTAGTTTTCAGTTTATTCTCTCGTACATCAGGTATGAATTGAGCAACACGTTTGTCATTGCCTCCGGCAGGATTCTGCGGCAGATAGTCGGTATCCCAATGGGCAAATGCACGAGTCCTGCGCTCGCCTGTCTCCTTTGCGCATTTAAAAAATTCTCTTTTCTGTCGTCGTTGGGTGCTGATACGAAGTTGATTTGTGGTTTTCGCATCGTGGATGATGTTTCGGTTTTTGTGAAATTTTGAGGAACATGCTCCGAGTCGCTTCGTAAGGCAAAAAAACTACTTGATTTTTTTCAAGGATGCTATGATAACAATCTTAGTCTTGGAGCAGACCAGTGATGGCCTCAGCTGGGATTTCATTGGCTGTACAGTAAAGGTGTTGGCGAACCCAGTGAAGATTGTCTGTTTTGCCACTCACAAGAATTAGAGGGGTGGGGTCAAGGAACCGCTTGTGTTCCAAAGTATTTAGGATTTTTCCTCCGTTTCCAGTCGACAGCAGAAGTTGGCAGTAATTGGGTCGTTTCTACATCGTTGTTGCACCTTCACTACAATGTCAGGCGCTGAATTGTCATTCTTGTTCACTTTGAAGTGTGAATTATGGAGGCGCGGCTATCCTGATCTACGAATCCCCCTCGGCGGCGGAGAAGTGCGGCCGAGTTCCCAAGCCCGCGAACGTGTCCGCGTGGTCACGTGACTTCGCGGACGCGTGGCGCCCGGTGGGGAGGGGGGTTGGGGATCCCAGATTCGGGAAGCGTCATGGGGCGGCGCTGCCAACGCAACCCCAGCCCAACCCCCTCCAGCAAAAAAAAACAAAAAAAAAATAATTTTTTTTTGAGGGGGGGTGGGTGACTTCGTATTTCACAAAAAAAAAAAAAAAAAAAAAAAAAAAAAAAAAAAAAAAAAAACTTTTTTTTTTTTTTTTTTTTTTTTTTTTTTTTTTTTTTTTTTTTCCGTTGATTGATTGATTGATTGGCCCCACAGGTGCACACACACACACACACACATAGGTAGGATTGTATATTTCCATGTTCTAGCAGATTTTTTTATATTTTTTTATTTTTTTTTGATTGATTGATCGATTGATTGATTGATTAATTGATTGATTGATTGATTGATTGATTGATTAGCGTGGGCAGAGTCGCCCCCCCATCCCCAACAGGCCCACACACACACACACGCACAGTATTGTATATTTCTATGTTCTAGCGGAAAATTCATTCGATTTTTTTTATTTTTTTATTTATTGATTGATTGATTGAGTGAGTGGTGGGGGAGGGGTCGCCCCACCCCCCTGCCACCCACCACGCGCGTACACACACACACACACACACACACACACACACACACACACACACACTTACAGTTGTTAGACGCGGTGACAACCAAAGGGAATATGGGCTGAACCACCGGGCTTGCGGGACGGAGGGGCTCAGCACCTCGACGAATCGGAACGGTGATAGAAGTACCTTCGGCCCCTCTTTTCATCTCCTCTTCCCCCTTTTTCCCTTTTTGTTTTCTTTCTCGCTCCTTTTTGCCCCCCATTTTCTCTCTCTTTCCCTCCTTTTTTCTTTTTCAATACCTTTGCCTTTCCTGTTCCCCCTTCCCTTTTTTTTTTTCTCTCTTCCCCCCCCGTTTTTTCCTTTCCCTTTCCTTTTTTCCTTTTCTAAGTTGTGCTACGAGGTGCGTTAATAAAAGGTGGACTGGGGGCAGTCCTCGCCAAACTCAAACTTCACTTGCAAGATAGGACCAACCAGCAGCCGACGACGGGAGCAACTCGCTCTCGGATTATGACGTAGGGGGTTTACCACAAGAGTGAGGAGCGTGCTGGATTGTAGACGGGCCCCGGATCACGACGGCCTTAGGATCACTTCCTTGTGCCTGGTCACCTTTTTTCTGTTTTCTTTCTAATTCTTTTTTCTTCCTCTTTTGTCCTTTTTCTTTCGTTCTTTCTTTCTTTCTTTCTTTCTCCTTTTTTCTTCTCCTTTCTTTTGTCTGTTTTGCTTTTTCCGTGGCTCGCCACTCCTTGTTTCCTTCTTTTTTTTTTCAGAAAAACTTTGTGACCATTGGATCGGCGCACTAAATGGACAGATAGGTTTGATGGCTTCCCGCACAAGATTGCAATTTCGCGCTCAGCGCCACGACTATTTTAGAACAGAGAGCATGCGTTCTATTCATCGGACCACCGTCCGGTAATCATTTTTGACAGACTGGTTGTGCACGGGTGGTTCAGATTCTGTGCTGCGTGTGGGCTTGGCTTGGTGGTGGGCAGTATGGACTTCTTCGCCGACTGGGACCTGGAGGAGGAGCAGCCGGAGCTCGAGGAAGTGGTAACGTCTCTGCGAAGCGGCACTCTTTCGATCAGGCCCTCGCAACCCCACGCCTAGGCACGCCCTGACCAAGCACCATGCAGGACGCCTCCACGTGCCCCGCCGAACCTGCTGCGCCTTCCCCATACCCTTGCGCGAGTAATACTTTCTTCTCGCTCCTCTTCCTTCTCGCGTTGGTCCCAAATCTCGCCATAGCCTGCGCGTTCCTAGCTGCGTGTCTTTCCGAGCAGATTTTTTTGCGCCTTTCTGCTAGACGCTTCGCGCTGTTGGTCGGGAGCGTTATTTGCTTCCTGACACTCTTCCTTGCATGCTGT